CTAAAGAAAGCGTCAGTCATCCATCTTTGAATTGTCTGAAGCGACTGAAGATAACTATGCAAGTCCCAGAAATACGAAGGTAGCAACCAAAGATTGTATTCTATGATTGATCTTGACTGATACATCACACACCAATATAATACTAGTAAAAATTCACGTATGAAGATTGCCTGGAACTCACGGTTGCATACTAAAATAAGATGGAGGAACGTCGGCTAGAGACCCATGGAGTCAAATGAATGAAGCCAGTGACTGACAAGTCTGTGGAGCAAAATCATTTTAGAGCCATCGCATGTTCAGGGGTTGCTCAACTTATTTCTGAAAACGGAGTTCCGAGTTACCCAGCAAGATTCCAACCGATATTGCGACCGACTTCAGTCCGAACCGTACAGGTCGTGTTCGGTTCAAAGGTCTACCTAAAACTAATCGAAGATTGTGTGGAGTCAACAGAGAAGTTGCTGCAGGGTAGGGCCACCGTTCAGACAAGAGCGATGTGAACGTGAATCCTGAAAATCCCGCGACTACAAACAACTAATCGAAAACTGCCTGTAGCGCTACCTGATTGGAAAGTCCTGACAGGCGGGCCAGGGTGCCGATCAAAATAACCAGGACAATCGCCGGGTTGTCCTTCGAGCCGTCGAGCAAACCAGTCACATCGGCCAAATGTGGACACGTTCGCCTCACCAGACTTGTTAATTCAGGTTTGTCCAGCGTGCGTCGGTGGAATAGCGGTAACACACTCACCGAGCACTCAGATGTCCGGAGTTAAAACCCCGGCTTGAAGAAGAAAACATCTCAGCAGCAACAACAACAGTGAGAACAAACGACCAGACGGGTGGTTCTACCATTCATCCAGAATTTGTCTAAACTCACAACCAGACTGTTGGCCCAGAAAGGAATCGTCGTGGCCCACAAACTGAGCGCGACGTTGAGGAAACTGATCTCCAGACAGAAGGACAACCAAGACAAGACCAGGAGGAACAATGTGGTGAACCAAAGTGAATGCAACAACTGCAACAAATTCTACGTTGGACCAACTGGGAAGAAATTATGCACACGAATAGAGGAACACAAAGCAGATGTCAGGAAATATGACCACTTATCCTTGATATCCATACACGAAGACCAAGAAGGCCACAAATTCAATATAAAAAACGTGGAGATCTTGGAATGTGCAAACACGAGGCACAGAAGGGAATTTCTGGAGGATTGGTACTCTACGGCTGATTCAATCAACTAATGCATAGAACTGGATCCAACTTACGCACCACTACGTGCAAAGGACCAACTCATCCACCGGAATACTCAAGGAGAGCCAAATTCAGATTCACAAACTAAGAAGCAAGGAACTGCTCAAGCCGGTCATCGATCAATCAGGACACAGGATAACAGAACAACCAATGGAACCGACCGACCGAACAACCGGTCGTGATCGAAGGTCACCCCTCGCTAGCAGCTTGTATATTAACACACACACACACAACACTACTCAACGCACAACCACCAACCCATTGCTAAGCCTCACCAATCTCCCTAACAATGCACTGGTGATGTTACCTTGATTGGTGAGAAACCTTTGCAATCAAATTGCCCAGCTCAGCGAACAAACCAACGACCATCTATGCTACCTGAGTTCCAACCTTCTCTTCTATCGTGAAGTTACCCTCTAGATTGATGCTTGTGAGTCTTGATAAGAACAGAACTGACTTGGCTTGGGCGTTACGTCATCATTCACTCAGTGAAAGCAAGTTTGCTCCAACCACCTGCGCACAAGGCAATTCATTTCTTTCCGAAAACACGGTTACTTTCAATCAAACTAACCTAATCGAATTTTACGCACATATTATAATTACAGAATTAGAGGTCATACTGCCTTCATCCTACGTTAATATGGTGGAAGAAGGTACGTTGGACGGTTTCGGAAAGGTCGAATTCATCCCGGACGACAATCGCGTGCCATTGGAAGATATGTATTTACAAAGAGATGGAAGAATGAAAAGTTCGACAACGGTAATTTTACAGTATGCACCAATTTACAAAACCATGACAATTCACATTATCCTAGATGATCGAACAGTTCTTTTTTCCACTGTTTGTCACCCAAGATTTATGAGTACACTACCGTAGTCACCTGAATGTAGTTGTGGAGATAACGTGGGCATTTCGTCTGTATGCAAAGTAAAGATGATTGCCAGATGGGTAATAACATTCTGCTGAAAAGTATGAACATGGATCTTACGCTTACATTCGTAGTTGCCAAGTTTGTAATCACGCTTTCAAATCAGTTACACAGGTGGGCGTCAACCCCCTTCTCTGTCTCTGCGTAGCCAGTCTATACGTAATTTCAGGTCAACAGGCCAACATTATTGTGCAACTGAAAGTTTGGTCTTCCTTAAGCCTGATACATGAACGTTGATTAAGGTTTTTACCAATCGACAGAAATATCAGAAACTGATTTTATGTGGGCTACAGTTTAGCATCTCTTTTAGATCCAGACGTCTCACTGTCACGCGACCAAAACAATCTATATTGTGGAATCGTCATTAGAAAAAAGGGTAGGTAATACCAGAAGCGAAATTTATGTCGTGTGAGCAGGAAAATGAACATCTTGAAATCGTTCAGTGAGTCTGGTTGAAAAATCCCTGACGTCTTCTAATCCGAAAATTGCTGTTAGAAAATGAGCACATCTATTTACTGGGGTGATTCACGCTTACGTTTAACTCTTAGGGAGTTCCATCCGACAATCTATGCAATTATGTTCGTTTTCCGCTCGCAGTTGCTTGTGCACCAGCTAGCTCCCTTTTAGTCGGTTACTAGAACGGGTTTCTGTTTTGTGGGATAAAAAACTGTCTCGTTGACATGAACTTGCTCACTGATTCCCCGACTAATGATGCCTACATAAATTACAAGAGCAATGTGCATCATACCGGAACAGACGGTTTCACGTCTGTTCGAGTTTTCACCAAATTTGAAGGAACGCTTGTTTTTGCAACAAGTGCAAGAAGCAGCGCTTTTCCAATCGGACTACAGTGCTCCTACCGAGAAGCACGGTGCAACGGTACTGACTAAAATGGCATTTTTGGGGGCGTATTTTCTAGATGGTGGGGTGTACAAGCCTTAGGTCCTGTAGTTAGAGAATATATCTAAAAGCGTTGTCCGATGTGAGTGGAAAAAACAGTTCGACGTAATTTAACTAGGCATACTATTACATGGATGCCCACAGCTGGTGGTACTTGATTTTGACCATGCAAAATCCTTTGTGAACTCTCAATGTGAGTCTTCCAGTTAACTGACAATTTGCTTGTTCGCCGTCGTCATCAGCATCTCTTTTCGCGCAATGTCTATCCCTTAACCGACCTGTTTCATTCGGCGTGATTTTGAAAAAAAAACGCCCGACCTTAGGTGGTCTCAACAACACCGGCAGAAACCTGTTTTCTCGGGGCAATTTTCACAGCTTATTGGTTATGGCAGAGAACAGCTTTTGGCTAATTCGAACCACAGCGGTCAATGAACCGGAGTTAAAATCGAGAAAAAACCTGAGTGAATTTGTTGCGACACTTCTTTGGAAAGCCGACCAATTTTCTCAACCAATTATGTTCGTTTTCCGCTCGCAGTTGCTTGTGCACCAGCTAGCTCCCTTTTAGTCGGTTACTAGAACGGGTTTCTGTTTTGTGGGATAAAAAACTGTCTCGTTGACATGAACTTGCTCACTGATTCCCCGACTAATGATGCCTACATAAATTACAAGAGCAATGTGCATCATACCGGAACAGACGGTTTCACGTCTGTTCGAGTTTTCACCAAATTTGAAGGAACGCTTGTTTTTGCAACAAGTGCAAGAAGCAGCGCTTTTCCAATCGGACTACAGTGCTCCTACCGAGAAGCACGGTGCAACGGTACTGACTAAAATGGCATTTTTGGGGGCGTATTTTCTAGATGGTGGGGTGTACAAGCCTTAGGTCCTGTAGTTAGAGAATATATCTAAAAGCGTTGTCCGATGTGAGTGGAAAAAACAGTTCGACGTAATTTAACTAGGCATACTATTACATGGATGCCCACAGCTGGTGGTACTTGATTTTGACCATGCAAAATCCTTTGTGAACTCTCAATGTGAGTCTTCCAGTTAACTGACAATTTGCTTGTTCGCCGTCGTCATCAGCATCTCTTTTCGCGCAATGTCTATCCCTTAACCGACCTGTTTCATTCGGCGTGATTTTGAAAAAAAAACGCCCGACCTTAGGTGGTCTCAACAACACCGGCAGAAACCTGTTTTCTCGGGGCAATTTTCACAGCTTATTGGTTATGGCAGAGAACAGCTTTTGGCTAATTCGAACCACAGCGGTCAATGAACCGGAGTTAAAATCGAGAAAAAACCTGAGTGAATTTGTTGCGACACTTCTTTGGAAAGCCGACCAATTTTCTCAACTTATGTCGGCGAATCCGTAACGAGGCAGTTAGAAAGCGCGTTTTCGGTTGTGCGACGGGTACTTCCATTGAAGAATGTGTCCAACACCAGAAGCTGCGTTGGTTGGGACATGTGTTGCATATTCCGGACCATCGTTCGCCGAAGAGAGTGCTGTTTTCCATGCCCAATTCGGAGTGGCGTAAACAGAGAGATGGCCAACTCCTGAGGATGAGGCAGAGGAGTATGAAGGAGATCACGAAACGCTTGGGTGCTGTCGGTGCTACTCGCCTTCCAGGTTGGGGACCGCGTGATCCTCACTGTGCCTGGTTGGAGACACCACAAGATATGACTACCAACCGATGTCAGTGTCATGCTGTCGATGATGATGATGGTGCGAATTCGAACAGACATGTGCTGTTGATGCTGTCTCCTCTGAAGTCCTATTTGGATGACGTTACCTTCTTACACAGGGGTACACTATAAGTATGTTAACCGGACATCATGGACTATAGTCAACGCTGATCAGTAAGTAACACTGCATAGGAAAACACCTTAAGATCCTACCTAACGTGTTGCATTGAATTGATTCAACGGCATTTTCGGTGGGTACAACAACCGAAACGCCTCTGCAACATCCAGCCCTCATGAGGAACTGAAAGGGAGTCTTCTTAAGGTCACACGACCATTACGAATACATTTCTAACATAATGAACTGTTGTTTTTGGAACCATTTCCCCCAGGACACTATCTACTCTAATGTAAGTAACATTCAGGACCATGAAACTTTACCTTTTTCTTGATCCCACCCTTCACTCTCTTTTTTCTTTCTGGTACTTGTAGTTTCTTGTTTCCTCACTGACACTGTTCCACTACAAGTGTTCGTAATATGAGCAATCACCCAGCGGGTTAAGTCCACCACATTCCTCACAAGCGCAATTCATTCTGCTAAACTAAGAAGCCTTTTTACATACCAAACTAAGTAATATACCATACTATGCATATATACATATATTTATGTGTAGGTGCTGAATTTTCGATATGGAACACATAAACTTACGGTGCCGTTCTGTTTACAGGCCCGGGTGGATGAGTCGAAAAAGAATACATGGTTGGTTATGATGACAGGGAGACTGTCGGAAATTCACAGAACTTTTGACCAACACCTAATGGTGAGCAACAGAAATTTTTATCCCATCATCGCTAAACAAATAATCTACCAGAACATGCTTGGCTCCATCAAAAAATTCCTAGGACTCTTTGAAGTTGTTAGGAAAGTATTTCGCGTACATGCGTTCTTACATGTCCCGAGTCCATGACCTATAATGATCTCTTTCGATCTCTCCGCAAATGGGGGTGCCGCAAATGACTTCTTTGTTAGAGTGGGCCTAACCAAAGCGCTGCCACTGTACCCCTTTTCCGCGCCTACTTCAAAGGGACTTTTTCACTTGGGTCGTAATTAGAGGCAGGTACCTGCACTCTAGGATGCCAACGAAACAAGTGCACAACGAAGATCGAAAAACTGTGGAAAGTAGAGAGGCAGCAGATTTTCTAAGCTCTTCAGTGGTTGTTGTTGGTCCTCTGCATCTTATTAGCGGTCGTGTTCGTACCCGACGACAAGCCAATCCGCGGTCGCTCCACAAAAGCATCATAAAACAGTTCTCCCCGGTTGTGCTGCACCCCATGAAGTTAGGGATTTCCCACAGGTGGCACGGACGATTTATTCTAGTCGACTAGCTGCATAGGCTTCTCTACATCTGTAGTCGGGTCCTACAATCACCCATACCTTCGGATCCTCACTTTGGACAACTCCTTGGATGACTTTCACAAAAATCTTGAATAGTTTGGTGCCACGCCCTGACTTCTGAGGCACGCTGCTCATTAAATTACCACTGACACGTAAACCACTTTTCTACGCATTAAGTAGTCGTGAATGCCAGTGTGGTCAATAAATGTTCATCAAAAATTTTAGCAAACAACTTGTTAAAATTAACACATCTCATCTAATGGACTACGGCTATCCAAAGCAACTGGCCATTGTTCCTTCGTGCAGATAACCTTTGGGGTTCTTGAGCCGAGCTGTAGGAAGCCACGTTACTCGAGTGCGCCACTACGAATGTGTACTGTTTCACGTTCGACAGTTTACACCTTACTAATACCTGAGTCAGGCGATGGTTACCGGAATGAGATTTGTCTATGCACTTCATCAATGGCTCAAGCACCGCGGATTTTCAATAGCTGGAGGGATGGCCTTCATTTAAACAAACAAAAATTCAGGACAACAATTTCACTGTAGTTAGATATACAGTTTAAATTTTTTGTGGATGTCGTTCAGCTGAAATTGGGCTGGAGTTGACGACCAGTTAATCACGGCCTTTGCTAATTTCCACCTACGGCCTCGGAGGTTTACGACTGCATATGTTCTCTCAAGCGGCACCGAGCTCCCGGTCCGGATGACCTCCCACCTGCACTGTTCAAAGACGGGGGTGAAGTCCTCAGTCAGCGCCTGTCCGACTTGTTTGCTTGCATTTGGGAAAAGGAGTCTGTCCCAGACAACTGGGGAGAATCGGTGATAGTGCCCATTTTCAAAAAAGGGGCGCGTAGTGAGTGTGCTAACCGCAGGGAGATCAGCTTGACCCCGGTTGTAACGAGACTGTTGGCGTCAATTGTGATTCGTCGCCTTACGGTGGCTCGTGAAATACTGACTCGAGAGCAGCAAGCAGGATTCCGGTCTGGTAGGGGTTGTGTTGACCAAATCTTCACACTGCGTCAGGTGCTAGAACAACGCCATACGTATAAGCGACCCACGATTCTAGTATTCCTGGATTTCCGAGGCGCATTCGACTCGGTTGATTGGTCTGTTCTTCTTGAGACGCTTGCCCACCAACGAATGCCCCAGAAGTTTGAAAACACAATACGTTCTTTGTATTCTCAGACTTCCGGACGTGTGAGAGTGTACGGAGAGCTCTCCAAAAGCTTCCGCACACAAAGCGGTGTCCGTCAGGGATGCCCACTCTCTCCATTACTTTTCAACTTTGTGATCGATGAAATAATGAGACGAAAGCTGGAGGGTCTCCAAAACCCTGGTGTTCAAATAGCCAATGAAGAAAACCTTGTCGATCTGGAATAGGCAGACGACATCGTTCTCATGTTCGAAGAGACGGAGAAGGCGCAAGTATTCTTGGATGAACTGACCAAAGTCATCCCGTCCTTTGGTATGCACTTTGCACCCACACAGTGTAAGGTCATCCTTGTGGACGTGCAGTCACTGAACACGACCTTACGATCCAGGGAGAGGTACTGGAAGTTGTGGAGCGTTTTACGTACCTTGGAAGTTGTATTAGTTCTGATCGTAGTGTGACAGATGAGGTGAATGCACGAATCTGCAAGGCTCGGGCCGCGTTTGCTAACTTGAGACACCTATGGCGTCAAAATGGTTTATCCCTGAATCTGAAGGGACGAGTGTATCAAGCTACAGTACGGGCTGTCTTGTTGTATGGCTGTGAGACTTGGCCTATTCGAGCAGCGGAACAGAGACGTCTTCAGGTGTTCGACAATCGTTGTCTCAGAACCATAGCTCGTGTGGGTTGGTGTCAGCGAATCAGTAAGGAGGCAGTTAGAAAGCGTGTTTTCGGTTATGTAACGGGTACTTCCATTGAAGAATGTACCCAGCACCAGAAGCTGCGTTGGTTGGGACATGTGTTATGTATGCCGAACCATCGTTTGCCGAAGAGAGGACTGTTTTCCATGCCCAATTCGGAGTGGCGTAAACAGAGAGGGGCCCACCCCATGACCTGGCAGAGGAGTAT